TTTTCAGAACTTCAGTCTTGCAAACAACTGAACCACTTAAGCAGAATATCTTACTTAAGGCCTGTGGTTGGCATGTAGACTACAGGTGAGATAGTTGATCTCCAGTGAATTTATTTAAAGAACCAAACAAACCAAAAACACCCACCAAACCACTGAAAGAGCATTTTCCCCTGAAATATATCAGATGCATATTAAAAGTAGTGTTAGTTATTATATTCAGAATATAAAAATAAATGTAGTACACAAGCTGCAACATTTTCTACCACAAAAGAGGCAGTGCAACTTTGTAGTTTTCACTTCCATGGTTAAGTTGAGTTTTTTGAAAGTGGGAGACTTAAAGTCTGTCCAGTCCCCTTGAAAAAGGGGTACTTTTTCATGTAATCCTGTCAGTCTTTGAGAAGGATGAACCCCTTTAGTACTTCAGGTAGAGCAGGAAAAATGCTTAAAGTAACTGGCATTTTCATTCTGGAGAAGAAATCATTAACAGACTAATCCTGTATTTATGTTGGACATGAAAGTGATCAGTGTTTTAATTACTGAATTATGAACAGTACCTGAATTACAGGCCAGAAGACTTGCTTTTGGACACATAGCTGCTGACAGGAACGTTAAATGGTGAAACTACCCGTGAACTTAATGCCTTCCATTGTGTTGCTAAAACAATGGAATTTATTTCTTAGGGATAGCACAAGGATTAAATACTGCTCTCAGGAGTTAAATGTTGATGTCTTAACTGTTTGAATACTTCAGATGCAGGTTTTATGTGTTTTAAATGTTTTCTAGTGATTAATGGATGGCATTTTCTCTGAAATACCTGGAAATTGATACATTCGAAATATTGATAAAGTGCCTGTATGTAGTTTATCTTTGACCGTATGTTCTTCATAAGGAAAAAACCTGATGATTTTTCCAGTTTCTTGGGTCATTTTTGTCTGGACCAGATTATTAGGCTTTTAATAATACTATTCTGATTTTTCCATGGTGTCTGAGGAGGCCAAGTGGGGGGGGAAAAAAGCTTTTTTTTCTGTTACAAACGGATGTAGTTTGGGACATTCAGGACGCTTTAATTGATATTATACCTTAGCTTTGTTTGTTTGTAATAGTAAAATCAAACTAATTCTGATGCATGTAGTATTTAAACCACGTATCTGTCCAGTGGTATTTTCTCTGTTATGAAATCAGATTATGTGCCCCTTATAGTCTCAAACCCAGAAGTTACTTTCATTTTAGTTAATTCCTAGCAAAAGTAATTCTATGTCATGAGAGCAAATTATATTTTGCTGTCAGGATCTAAGTATGAAAAATGTTGGGGAATGGGGTTGTGGTTTTTTGTCCTGGTTTGCTTTTTGTTTGTTTGGGGATTTTGTGTCTGTGTGTTATTTTTTTTTTTGTTGTTGTTGTTTAATACTACTATTCATTATGCTACATATAAAATACTTGTGTGTTGGGTATCTCCTGATTCATTTCACTCAAAATGTGAGTGACTGATACTTCATATTTTGAGGAAAGACTGCTAAAGAAGCTTTCAGAACTTGGAAGTTTGAGAGTTAAAGTGAACCAAAACTCGTTAGGCTTATAGCACAATGCTACCCTCTAGTGGAACAGTGTTGCAGTGAAGAAAAAAAAACAAACCCCAAACATTCTTGTCAGTGAGCAGCAAGGTTTTAATTAGACGCGATATGTGTTGAGCAGTATATGTGGGTACTTGTATAGCAATAACAAAGTAGAAGAACGTTTGAGGAAGCCACCTCTGTCATCTAGGCTAATGAAGTTGTTGCTTTGTCAAAGGTAAATCAGAAGTTCTCATTGCATAGCAGTTGGTTGTGGGTTAGTAGGATTTCATTCAAGGATTCTTTTAAGTCGTTAGTATTTAGTGCAAGGCAGAAATGTATACTTGGTATCTAAACCCTTGCTACACATTGTTCAGGCTCTTCTGGTTATTTGCTTTTGTTCCTTGCTTCAAAGTGAACCCCTCTAGACCATGTTTTCTTCTCAAAACCTGTGATTAAGATGGATGCATCCAGATTAGTCTGACATTCTTGAGTCTGTAACACAACCTGCTGTATTCGCAAATGTAAGGTAAATACAGGGAAATGTTGGATAGGCACCTAGTGAAAGACATACTGTGCTGACTGGAATATGGTATCATTGAGTGTTGGAGTTTATGCAGGGAAAAGAAATTAACTTCTGGAATTTCAGTTGCTTTGAAGATTAAAGTAAAGAAAACAAAAATAAAATTAAAGCTTTGATAAGGAAGTAAGTGTTTACTATAGTAAAAAGAATAGGGTGGGAGGAGATTATTTGCCTGGGTATTTGTTTCCAGATCCCAGGTTGGATAGATAGGTGAGGTTTTGGCAGCCAAGTAATAAGCTTGAAGAACAGGAAAATCTACAATGGGCAAGACTGTTGTAAAAAGGGAAGCGTAAGAGATGTAACTTCTGTAAAAGAGGTTCTAATGGAATCAGGGGGAGATGTGGGGATTTAAGCATGGGTTTAGCTTCAGAACTGGGGGGTTTAATTTAATTATCATTTACCCTTCTGTGCTTTTCATTCTCCGCTACATAAAGCGATATAAAAGTAATACAGAATCTTAGAATGGTTCAGGTTGGAAAAGACCTTAAGATGATCTAGTTCCAACCCCCTCTGCTGTGGGCAGGGACGCCTCACACTAGACAACATGGTGCTTCTCCTGCTGTCAGCCTGCTTCTTGAAGGGGAGAACGTGGTAACTGTGGCAAAATATTAACCTTCCAAAATGTAGAAAGCATGCTGTCTCTATAACTTGGTTACTTTATTAGTCTGACTTCACCAGCCATAGTGATCTGTTATGCTCATATTTTTTTTCTGTTCAAATCAGACTGTAGACTTTCTGATAATTTGATCATAAGCAAAATTCATCTGTTGTTTGAAGACCTTGCTGTATATTGCCATTGGAAATGTTCTTAAGTTTTAAATGATCACATTATCTTGTGATTTATGTTTATGGGTGAATTTCTCCTAAGTTAATATCACAATGGTTAAGGGGCCTTCAGTTTGGAATGATACGAAGAAGTATTGGCATTAAGAAAGCCAATTCATTAAGAAATGAAAACTTAAAAAACATGTCTGTCTTCAAGTAGCAATGGCGTAAATGTTTGAGAGAACATGTACAGGAGGACTTTGTTGCAAGGAGGCTTACATCTGCATTAAATCAACTGTTTTGAGCTTAAAGGAAAAATGTGGGGAAAATAAACTTACTGGAGAACCATGGCATAAATACTTCATCTGGAAAGCTTTTAGTGTCTGACACAGAATCGAGGTGAAACTAGTCTGCTTATTTCAGTGTCATATCTAACTTGCTGATCAACTGTTTTCCTGAAAGTTTAGTAGGCAACAAAAAGACTTGCAGTGCTGCCAATAACGATTAAGTATTTTGTGTATAGCATGTGTTGTTGGGGAGATACGGATGTTACATAGATAAAATTTTGTAGATCTCTATTGGGGGCGGGCGGGGGAGCAAACCAACCAACTGAAATAATTAAATTCATTCTGTGGAATTAACAAGCAGATGTTCTCAGAAGTTAGGTTGCACTCAGTGTCCAAATCAACAAAGATTCTTACAGATCCTTCAGAACTTAAGGATGAAAAGCATGTCAAGTGACAATGATTGACACACACACCCCCCAAAAAAAACGAAAAAACCCAATAAAAAACAAACCAACCCCAAAATTAAAGGAAAAAAAAAAAAGGCAAACCAAAACCCTAAACAAACAAGCAAAAAAAAGAACCTCACACAAACAAATTTGAAGGTGACAACAGGGCCATCCTCCTTACTGTAGTTCTTTGAGGCTATTAACAAAGATTCTTGAAATAGTTCCTTCTAATACACTATTCTGTGTAGGGTGATGCTTTCAAAGTAGATTCTGAGTGAGGCAAATAAAGGAATAGGTTCAGCATTTGTAAAAGCACTGTGCTTAGATGTTAGATTAGGTAAGGCCATAAGCTATCCCTGTAGGTAAAGAAACTAAAGGAAAAATGATAAAATAATTTTATCCACTGTTCATCTAAATGGGATGATTCAATTATTTGAACAAGTAGCAGAGATTTAAAAGAAATTGCTTCTTGTTGCATTCCTTATTGTATGTGGTAAAGTTTCTGTTCAGATGCTACAGAGTGGAGTAGCACAACAAAAAATGAAAGAAAAAGAAAAATCTGTAACAGGAGTTTATTTGGCAGTTATGTTTGAAAAAATAGAGGTGGCTAATGTGACTCTTCCATTCTGGCAGGTTTTTTTTTCCTCTGAAGTTGTCTGAGCTTTTGCCAAGCTATGAAGAACAGATCTTAGCTGATGCTGAAAGAGGATGTTGATCAAAATCCTGCATTAATTGTATACACCAGTATTGGTGGAGGCTCTTAGTTTGCTGCTGCAATTGAAGGAAGTTTGTGTTAGACTTTCGAATTATAAGATGATGACACCTCTCTTGCACTTAACCAAGAGTCACCTGAAACCACACATTAAAATGAAATCACTTGGAAGCTATAAAGCCTTTCTCTGACATATGCAGTGTGACTACCTTACAGTGCAAAGACTGAGCTTAAAGAAATGGGGTAGGGAGAACTGATGCAGCCTAACTTCAAGTAACACCTTAACTTTTTTCTGTTATATGCATATGCAGTTCAGCTTTTAAAGAGTTCTGTTTGGCCCAATATTCCTGTCTGAACAGTCAAAATACCAGTCAGTACTACTAGGTGCCTGTAGGAAGGTACACCTGAAGAGATTTTATAACTTTTAACTTACTATTTCAGGTGCTTGACTTTGCCCTAATTTTACTTCAAGAATTCAAGATTCTAAGTTTTGTAGAGTAGTGTATTTTGAAGACATTCAAAAATTGAGCCTTGTGCCAGCTGCACGTGTCAGAAATGGCTGGCTCCTTTTAGTTGTTGAGAGGCAATAGTTAACCTGCCTCTTATTAAAAATAAATGCATTTACTTCTGGTTTAAAGCAATTTTATTTGTTTACAGGTGTCAGCTGTGATGCATGTTTAAAAGGAAATTTCAGAGGTCGACGATACAAGTGTTTGATTTGCTACGATTACGATCTGTGTGCAACCTGTTATGAAAGTGGTGCAACAACAACGAGGCATACAACTGACCATCCAATGCAGTGCATACTAACAAGAGTAGATTTTGGTAAGTGATAACTTCAAACTCTAGTAATTTTGCTGCTGTGGTGTTATCTACAAACGTAATACAGGTTTTCATGTTACTACTTGCTAATTGTGTCCCCCATTAGCACACTGAAAAGAAGAACAAGTTCTCCTCTTCTAAAAAGCAGGCATGTTTTCTTTGATTTCAACATAGAAGAACTGGCTTATATATTTGTTTTTAATTGGTGCATATATATTTTTAATCTTATTTTGGCCTGATAACAGCAGGTTATCAGACTACTAAATATACTTAATAACAATGACTACTCTTCATTTTCCAATTCAGATTATGTGGCAGCCTTCTCCCCAAATTATGCTTTACTTAAGTGCCACAGTGTACAAGCAGAAAAATCCTGGGTAGATTTTGTAGGAATGTTACTCACTGGTGGCTTAAGTGGGACTGTAGGTATAGCAGGGGTAGCAATGGGCTGTACTGAGTATAAAAGATCAGTGTCCAGGACTAACATGTAGTCTTTGTGAACTCCTTTGAAGATATGCTAACTTAAGAATCATTTCTGACTGTAAAGCCATGTCAATACTTAAAATTAAAAAAAAAAAAAAAAAATTGTTCTTCTGACCTGCTTGTTGCTTCTATTGCATCATAGTTGTAACAGGTTGTACTTAGGAGGTATTTCTGTGATAAACCACTGCTCTTAAGATGTTGCTGATCATGGATATATATCTTGGCTTTATGCTAAACCCATGGGGCTAGCATTTTAATAATTTATTTTTTAGCGATTCTGGCTGTATTATGCTTTGTTTTGAAATTTTTAAATATGGTGATTTCTGAAAAGGTGAATGTTTATTCTAAATTACATCTTTACCTTTTCAATTAAAACAGAAGTAAAAGGTAATTTACAGCGTTAAAGATTAGAGAATAGGTATCTATAGAAACATGCAGTTGGTTTCTCAAAACAGCCTTTGAATGAAGATGTCTTTTTCTTTCTTCTCTTTTCTTTTTTTTTTTTTTTTTTTTTTTTTTTTTTTTTTTTTTTTTTTTCTTTCTTTTAACTCTCAGGCCTTTGCTTGCCCTCAGACTGCCTGGTCGTGACTTCAAAAGTCCAGGCCCTAGGAATCCAGGGTTTGGAAGAAAATAATTCAGTGCATTATCGAACATGCATGCTACCATTTTAGCTTGGGCTTTTATTCCCCCCCCCCTTTTTCTCTCAGTAATAAGGTAAAACTGTGTACAGTATATAAATTCAGGATTCTGGTCACTGTTTTAGGTGCAGAGTTCATACATCACTTAGTAACCGTTATTGTATGATCTTGCACATGGTCTAGAAGGACAGCATTACTGTAAATATTGAATGCTCATCATAGGGACTGAAACATGCTTGCTGTGAAGCCGTAAGCTAACTTTAAAGGTTAAAGCTTTCAGCCTACTACAGTGAGGAAATTTGTTCTAATCTCTTTAAAAATGCCTATCATCAGAACAGAACCCAGGAATGTCTAGGAAATACATTTTTTTTTTTTTTTCTTTTTTTCTTGCAACTTGCATATTTCTCTTTCGGAAGTCTTTTGATAAATGATCTTTTGCTTTAATACATGTTACTTGTATATATTGTGGGGGTTATTTTTTACTGTTTAAGTGTGCATGTGTCATACAGATGGTGAGGTGGAGAAAGGTTCACAGTAAAGTATTGAGATGGGTAACAGGATTCTAAGGGTTACTTCTGCAATTGCTTGATGTTTATGCTACTGTGGCTTTAAAATAAGAGTAAGAAAACAAGCTGTGGAAGTTTCATATGGCTTGATTATCTGAGCATTGCTCCTACAGAACTAGTGTTGGGGAAAAGAAATACTGTAGCTCAGCTCTGCAGCAAGACTCCTGGTTTGATTAACACTGTGGAACAAGAACAGCAAAGAATACATCACCACCAGATTGTGAACCACAGCAAAGCTTGATGGCACTCAAGTACTAGTGACCTTGTAAGCTTATACACTGGAGAATGAATAATGGGATATTTACAAATAACATATTCCTTAAGACTCAGGAAGATCTGTGACATCATTCTTTATGTTTTTATTTTACAGTTCCTTGTAGAATGTAAAACATAAAGGTCTGTGCTTTTACTGTATTGCACAGATACTTAGAGAAACTATGGTTAACTTTTCAAAGGGCCTTGTGTTGCCAAGGGGATTATGTGTGTTTGAGGAACAGCCAAAAAATTAGGAGTTAAGGAATGCTAAGTTTAGTTAGAAAATCAGCAATGAATGATAGAACTAGTCTAGAATGACCTGTTTCATAGTTGTCAGGATAGCTGTATGAGTGAATATTAAAAATCACCAAAGCAGCAGATTTTAGTGGGTTACAAGAAAATAATCCCTATGGGAAGATTTGCAATGTAAAACTAGCATAGAAGTAATGAAGTCTTCAGTCACTTCCTAGTGACATGGGAAGTCAAATGAGAGAAGAATGTTTCCTGATGTATGACAGTATGAGTAGGGAGTTTTGCTAAGTAAGGAAGACTTCAGAAGAAACGCAGAATGGAAGGCTGTTAGTATGTGTGTAAATTGTAGTTTACCTGGCCATTGACAAACTTTAATACTGTTGCCTGTAGTTAGGTTTGATTCAAAGGTATGAAAACTTCTGAAAACAAACAAAACCCCAAAGGCTTTTAATAGGTGTAAACTTACAATTTTTGCTGATGGTGGGGAGAGAAGTGGATAGTTGGTAAAAGATGAGTGTTTTACCAGTGGGAAGGAAGCAGAGTGGGAGAATCCTTCCATTGCGAATTTGATAAAACTGATGCAAGCAACTCAGAGGAGGTCAGTGTCAGGTTTGTGATTCTGGAAGTGTGCGTGGGCATCAGTGAGCCATTCTCTCAAGGTGCATCTGCAGCTGATGGAAAGGACCCTGTATATCTAGCTCCCATCACCTTTCTGGCCAGCACTATATGCAGATAACTGTGGAGTTTGCTTGAAGCTGTGACCACGTTCATGTTTGTAGTAGACAGCTAATCACATGAATGATCCTCTGTCTTAAGATTGCTTCAGCATAGAAAAAGGTAAGATAATGTTTACCTCCATGAAAGTTCTGGTCAGTGTTTAGGTTTCGTAGATACTGTAATAATGTTGCAGAGTATAGAGCAAGAAGATGGACTTTTTCACGTGCTCTGACAGAGCTTTTGTTGTGATCTTGATAATTTTTGATGTTTTGTTTTCTTGTTTTTTTAATCTGTGAGACTGACTATAGGTATAGAAGCCTGTATGAGAACACTAAAACCAAAAATCCCTAGTGATTTCTGTCTACACATGTGTTGACTCTTGTACCATCTGCTTGGACGTATTTGTATTTCAGGAGCCAGTGTTATGCCCAAGTATTAATTTTGAAGCAAGATGGGATTGAGAACAACAGCAGTGCTTTTGTTCTTCAGTCCCTAGAAAAGACACTGGAAGAAATGCTTTAACACATACGCCAAGAGTGGTATGCTGCTTTAACAGGGACAGAGCTTAAAATAAAATTTGAAGTCTCATATGTAATGACAAGTGGCATCTAAAGCACAAATCCAGTTAGTTTATTTCTGAGGGGTCAAAGAGTAGAATTGTAACAGGCCTGCATAAAGACCAGGGACGTGCTTACAAGACAGTCATTGTACTTCTGTGCTTTTTTGTAGGACAGTTTGTCAGGGCAAGGGAGAAGTTCAGAGCAAACTTCACAGTTTTCTTTTTCCCAAAGAAGAATCCTAAGCTGTTAGGATGCTTTATGATTTTAAGCATGTGGCTTGCACTTTACCCCTGGCATTTTAAAGGGATTATACTGGCAAAGAAAGTAATACAGATTTTTAGTAGCATTTTCTGCCAAGATTGTATTGCTTTTATTGAAGTACAGAACAAGTGTACCCTTACTTGTCAGCTGAGGTCCTTATGTGACAGAAGATCTTGACACCTTTTTTACTTAATTCTTAGCCAAAGGGAGCTGCTAAAATAATGGTTACGTTGATAATGTGTAGTGTGAGGTCTGAGTGGACTCCCCAGAACTCAGCTTGAGGCTTTTGTGATACTTTTTTTTCAGTCACTAGAACGAGTGCACATCACGCTGTTAAGTGCGTATGTTACTAAGTCAGAGCGTCACTGAATACTGTAGTTTGTGTGGAGGGAGAACCCTGGAGGTCGTCTGACCCAGCCTTCTGTTGGGAGTAGGAACATAAGTTGGGCTGTCCCATCAAGCCAAGTCTTGAAGGGATGTTTCACCACTTCTAGGCCACCTGTTCCAGTGTTCAGTTCCTACAGTGAATGTTTGTTATTCCTCTGAAGTAGATGGTGCCTGCAGCCTGTACTATGCTTCTTTTTGAAGGGCATACCTCCATTTCCTCCACAACTGCTTTTTCAGTATAAGAAGTTGGAGATGAGACCAGTCTTGGGCTTTCTCTAGGGTGGATGAACCTCATTTCTTCTACTGACGTCAAGTTCTCCAACTGTTGTGGTGCACACAAATGTGCGTGCATGCATATAAGACAAAAATACCCCCTAGCTCCTCTCAGTTTTATTTCAGTATCTGTCTTGACGTGGAGAGACCAAAATTGAACCCTGTGTTGCTGGAGTTGCCTAGCATGTGCCAAGTAACAAGGGGTAATCACATCTTTTGATTTGATGGCTGTTCTCTTTCCGATTTAGCCCAGGCCATCATTTGCTTTCTGTGATGCAGGGGCACCCTTTTGGTTTCTGTTTGGCTTGCTGTCCACTGGGATCCCCTGGTCCATTTCAGCAGATCTTTTTCACAGCTGGCTGAACCGGGCCTTTGAGCAGCAGCTGCTGGTTTGGAACTTAGCAGTACTGTCAGATGAATTGCAAATCCTCTCTTGTTTTCATTAGCATCTGTGCTTGTTCATGGTTTCAGCATGTGGTTTTTGCTGTTGGGGAGCAGCAAGACCAGGGCTGCTCCATGAGGGATAAAAAGCTGGAGCTGAGAGCAGCAACCACGGCACAGGCAGGGGCAGTGTCCTCACTGTCAGGGTGTGCAGGGCAGGGTTGGTAACA